AACCGTCTCTGATATGACAAAAATTGAAAACAAATTTTGGATAACATTCGCAGAACTGAATAGCAGCCAATTTGTTTGAGTTACTTTTCAAACATGTACTTGAACATGTAACAGGTAAATTACTGAACAGAATACGTTTTTAGTGAAATAATGTCGACGGTAAGACCATGGAGGCATACGGCCCCACGAGAAAATACACATAGCAAGGAAAAAGTTCCTAAAGAACAAGTACAGCGTGTAGTTTGAAACTACGTTTGAAACATTTCAATTACATTGTACGTGTTAGAAGCAAATTACTATCCAGCTGATAAACATGTCTGATAGAATTGTTCAGAACCTTTCAAAAACTCATTCATGTACAAGTTTTGCACAAAGACAATCCAATAGTATTGTATTTCTATTGGTAAGAAACTGAGTCAACTCATGGTCGACTGAACCGAAATATACTGACATCGGTAATTTTACACACGTAAAACACTAGAATGCCCATGAACAAGAAAATTAGCACTCACCTGTCTTACATCGGATATTCGATCAGCAGGATCCCTGGTGTTGTGATCAAATAATCTGCTTCAACCCAATTCCAAAGTGTTCTCATTCAACCATGTCTAAAGCAAGAGCTGTCCTCAAGAGCAATACGCATCGAACGATTCTCTGTCCTAGAATGAGCCCACCAGTTAGGCTGCGACCCCCAAAACGTTTAAAAATGCCGCGCAGGTTGGACCTTCCCGATGGACATGTTCGGACATGTCCGGTTGTTTCGTCCGGGGACGACTCAGAGCCGTGACGTCATGGAATTTCCTTCCGACCATACAATAAGGCTATTGTACACAACGCCCAATTGGGGCTGTACCATTTTTGTATGTAAGTAGGTTCCCACAGTTAATAACTAACCTAACCTAACACTCGAACTTTTATATCGGTTTAGATATTGCATCATCTTGCAAAACGTAGAGGTTAACTTAAAAGGTGACGACATCCCTAAAAAAAAAGATCGTGCCCTCCTCAGAAAAAAAAGACCTTCGCCCCTGTTGATTACTTCAGGATTTATCCAAATACTCCAGCCGGAGCCACCCGCGGTCTGTTGTCCGAAGATAAAGCCGGTGTCCATTACCTGGCGCCACGCTATAACGGGACATTGTTTAGGGATTATCCCTCGATTACTTCCAGACCTCCCAGTGCTGGTGGGCGCCCGATCCGAGTGTACCACGTTTAAAAGCGCCGCGCATGCCGGGCCTCTCCGCTGGACATGTTGGGACATGTCCGGTTGTTTACGTCTATCGATGACTTGGCACTATGACGTCACTGGAATCGCCCCCCCCCAGCAAACAATACGGCTACTGTACTCAACGCCCAATTTGTGCTGGACCATTACTTATCGTAGGTACAAGTGGTAGGTTCCGGCGTTCACAGACCCTCTGAGTTTGTTGGGTGCATACATATGCATGTATAACGTTCTTGTGTATGTACAGTATGCATGTGTTTCTAACCTACATACCCAGCCCACATAAGTATAGTCCGTGTGTTAAAAAGGGCCCTCAATTCAGTTCACTGTTTTAAGAGATATTTTATTTACTGTACTGTACATGCAGTTTTGTACTTATTTCAAGACATACCCGAGTTAACCTCGCTCTCTCGAGCAGATTATATCGATCACAAAGACCAACAAACAAATGGTACGTTCCTGTATGTATTAATATCGTGACCCTCCCCTCACACATTACCTATACCCCGTGAACAATGGAATTTTCCCGATCCTCATTTTATGCTAATGAGGGTCACGTGGTACAAAATCCAGCGTTCTGATTGGTCGAGAGCCCGTCAGAGAGGAGGCAAAATATCCTGGTTAGACGGGCTGCACTACTATGTTCACCCAGAACACCTTATTTAAAAATACACTAAATAATACCAGGGAAAGTTCGCTAAAACTTCATAAGCAATCATAGGCGAGCTTGTCAATGCCAAGTACACGTAGAATAAGCAAAACAACGTATAAATAGTTAAAGTGGCTGGCCTTACTCAAGGTCAGGTTAGGGTAGAATTACACATGGGACACTTACTTCCATGCAAATGGCAACAAACATATGGCCAGGGACCATATATGGCATGTGATAAAGCTTGAATGAACTAAATTGTGTGGGCCTACATAACGGTGACTAATCTGGAATTCTCGTTTTCCTTGAAGCACCAATGACGAAAAGTTGGCGAGTTGCGCAAGTTATTCAACAGAAAGCAGTGATGCAGTAAAATACTCCTAAAACAGGAGTAAACTATTCCACAAAGATTCTTTCCTAATAGTATGATAGTGAAACATAAAGGGTACAAAATATCTCTACAAAATGGACTCAATAGAAATGGAATAGACAATGGGAACTGAAAAAATAAAATAAAGTGCAGATGTTACAGTATGATTAACGTCTGAACATTCGTTCTTTGATCATGATGTGTCCTACCAATTTACCTAAGCAAAGTACATCGGATGTTTAATAAGAATCTACAAGAAACAACAAGGATTCAAGCTTACCTGCACCAACAGAGCACACAGGTCAGCGATGAGAAGGAGAAAAGGAGAAAAGTGTCAACAACTTATGTCTAACAAGCAAAGTGCAGACAGCACTTGGAGACAGCCTTCTCATCAGGTCTCAGATCGCTTCTGAGGAGGACAGGGCGACCTGGGCCTCTTATAGCCGGTGGGCAATGTGCTCGGAACAATTGATGCAGTATGGTCTTTAGTCATTAAGTTTTCTTGGGTAAGGAATAATCTCATCTTTCGTAATTAAGACTTTCTCAAGATCACGTACCAGGATGTGGTCTCAATTTTTATAGTCAGTTTAAGGTTATTCGCCCACCTCTTAGATGGATTGGCCAAGAAAACATATGGTCAGTCGGGAAAGGAAAACCACGGGAAAAGTGGAAACATATAAATGACTAATTAGGCAGATGGTTTTCTCCCGTCCGGCCTTCTTGGAGAGGGGTGTGTTGTGGTCAACACACTTCCGTAGGAATGACACTTAGTCGGACCCAACATCTTCAAATGGCATTCTAACGGGGTCCGACAATATGCTATTCTGAATTTGATGATTTTATGTACAATGTTTATCATGAACACTACCCCCATAGTACATGGTGTGGCATTGATTTATAATAATCGTTTCAAGACATGTTCACTTTTCCTGTATAAACTGCTTTCCCTTTTCTCTTTGGCAGCCGTTTAATAGCAAACATCAACAATCATACTGATACAAGAACGGATTAACTAATTAGCCTTGGATGACTGGTGGATGATACAATCGTGCCAGGCATTAATTTAGTTCATTAATTGCAAAACACATTTCTTGTGTTGGTGGGTTGTACATGTGATAAATTATTATCAAAAAATTACTACGCAAAGAAAGAAATTAATTTAAACTAAGAAAGAAAGAAAAATTCGCGAACTGCCTTGCCGGATTGACCGTGTCAGACAGAGCTGGTTGGCGGTGCAAAAAGGCGATGCGAGTGGGCTGACAAAGGGATGCGAATTGCCTCGCTGGTTTGACCGTGTCCGACTAGGCTGGTTGGCGGTGAAAAAAGGATGCCAGTGGGCTGACAAAGGGATGC